AAAAACTCCCAACAAAGAAAAGTTCAGGACCAGATGGCTTCACAGGTGAATTCTACCAAACATTTAGAGTAGAGTTAACACCTATCCTTCTGAATCTATTCCAAGAACTGCAGAGGAAGGATGACTTCCAAATTCATTCAATGAGGCCACCATCACTGTGATACCAAAACAGACAAAGATATCACAAAAAAAGAAAATTACAAGCCAATATCACTTATGAAGATACTTGTGAAAATCCTCAACAAAATACTAGTAAACTGGATCTGAAAATACATGAAAGGGATCATACACCATGATCAAGTGGGATTTAACCAAGGGGTGTAAGGATTTTTCAATATCCACAAATCAATCAAGGTGATACACCACATTAACAAATTGAAGAATAAAAACCATATGATCATCTCAATAGATGCAGTAAAAGCTTTTGATAAAATTCAACATCAATTTATGATGAAAAAGAGACCCTTCAGAAAAAGGGCACAGAGGTAACATAACTCAACATAATAAAAGACATATACGACAAATCCACAGCTAACATCACACTCAATGGTGAAAAACTGAAAGCATTTCCCCTAAGATTAAGAACAAGACAAGGATGCCCACTCTTAGCACTTTTATTCAACATAGTTTTGGAAGTCCTAGCCACAGCAATCAGAGAAGAAAAGGAAATAAAAGGGATCCAAACTGTAAGAGAAGAAGTAAAACTGTCACTGTTTACAGATGACATGATACCATACATAGGAAATTCTAAAGTCGTTGCCAGAAAACTACTAGAGCTCATCAATGAATTCAGTAAAGTGGCAGGATACAAAATTAATATATAGAAATTTGTTGCATTTCTATACACTAACAATAATAAAATATCAGAAAAAGAAATTCAGGAAACAATCTCATTTACCAGCACATCAAAAAGAATAAAATACCTAAGAATAAATCTACCTAAGGAGGAAAAAGGCCTGTACTCCAAAAACTGTAAGACACTCATGAAAGAAATTGAAGACGACACAAAGAGATGGAAAGATATACTGTGTTCTTGGACTGGAAGACTCAATATTGTTAAAATGGCCATACTACTCAATGCAATACACAGATTCAATGCAATCCCTATCAAACTACCAGTGGCATTTTTCACAGAGCTGGAACAAAAAATGTTAAATTTTGTATGGAAACACAAAAGACCCCAAATAGCTGAGACAATCTTGGGAAAGAAGAATGGGGCTGGAAGAATCATGCTTTTTTATGTTAGACTATTCTACAAAAATACAATAATCAAAACAGTATGGTACCAGCACAAAAACAGACATATAGATCAATGTAACAGGGCAGAAAGCTCAGAAATAAACCCATGCACTTATGGTCAATTAATCTATGACAAAGGGAAAAAGGAGGAGAAAACACAGTTTCTTCATTAAGTGATGCAGAGAAAACTGGACAGCTACATGTAAAAGAATGAAATTACAACATTCTCCAACAGTAAATACAAAAATTAACTCAAAATGGATTAAAGACCTAAATGTAAGACTGGATACTATCAAATTCCTAGAGGAAAACATAGGCAGAACACTCTTTGACATGAATTGCAGCAATATTATTTTTGATCCATCTCCTAGAGTAATGGAAATAAAAGCAAAAATAAGCAAATGGGACCTAATCAAACTTGAAAGCTTTTGTACACCAAAGGAAACCATAAACAAAATGAAAAGACAACCTATGGAATGGAAGAAAGTATTTACAAACAAAGACAGATAAGTGATTAATTTCCAAAATATGCAAACAGTTCATACACTTAATACAAAAAACCCCAAACAACTCAATCAAAAAAATGGGCAGAAGATCTAAACAGACACTTCTCCAAAGAAAACATACAGATGTCCAATAGGCACATGAAAAGATGCTCAACGTTGCTAATTATTAGAGAAGTGCAAATGAAAACTTCATTGAGGTTTCACCTCACACCAGTCAGAATGGCCAGCATTAAAAAACCCACGATAAATGCTGGACAGGGTGTGGAGAAAAGGGAACCCTCCTACACTGTTGGTGGGAATGTAAATTGATGCATGGAGAACCATGGAGAACAGTACAGAGGTTCCTTAAAAAACTAAAAATATAATTACTATATGATCCAACAATCCCACTCTGGGCATATATCTGGAGGAAGCTCTAACTTGAAAAGATACATGCACCCAAATGTCCATAGCAGCCCTATTTACAATAGCCTAGACATGGCAGCAACCTAAATGTTCATCAACAGATGAAAAGATAAAGAAGATGTGGTATATATATATACAATGGAAAATTACTCACCCATAAAAATAATGAAATAATACCATTTGCAGCAACATGGATGAACCTAGAGGTTATCATATGAACTGAAGCAAGTCAGAGAAAAACGAATATCATATGATATCACTTATGTGTGGAATCTAAAAAAAAGATACAAATGAACTTATTTACAAACCAATAATAGATTCACAGATACACAAAACAAACCAGGGATACCAAAGGGGAAAGGGGTTGGGGGAGGGATAAATTAGGAGTTTGGGATTAACATATACACATCACACAATAGATATAAAATAGATACACAAAAAGGACCAACTGTATGTCACAGGGAACTGTGTTCCATATCTTGTAATAACCTATAATGGAAAAGAATATGAAAAAGATATATATATATATATATATATATGTATATGTATAACTGAATCACTTTGCTGTATGCCTGAAATTAACATAACATTGTAAATCAACTATATGTCAACAAAAATTAAAGACAAAAAACGAACAAACAAAAAAACCACTATGTATTCTTCCTGGAACAAAATGAGAAGATGTTTTCCTAAAGAAAAGTTGTTCTAATCACTACATGTCCCAGATCAATAGTCCAACTGAATTTTAGAAAATGAAACTAAACTCAGTTTCAACTCATCCCTCTCACTGTGTCAACCTTTAAGGGTTGGCACAATAAGGATGTAGATTTTGTACTGTTTCATTAGTACTGTTTGCAGTACTAATTATCTTTATGGTCTCCAACTTTAGCAGTTAAATCAACAACATTGATTTGTTTTCAGTACAAGTATAGCACTAAACTACAAGGGGAGGTGCATGACAGACTCTCTGTCTTGAAAAAGATGCTAATATATGGAGAAGGACTTCCCTTCCCCAGGAAAACATGCATCAACTCAAATGACTCAAATAGAAAAGTAGGAATGGACGTGGAAATAACCTAAATGTCCATTGACAGATGACTGAATAAATAAGTTATGGTATATTTATACAGTGGGATACTACTCAGCCATAAAAAAGAAAACATAATGCCTTTGCAGCAACATGGATGTCCCTGAAGAATGTCATTCTAAGGGAAGTAAGCCAGAAAGATAAAGAAAAATACCATATGACATCACTCATATGTGGAATCTAAAAAAAAGAAAAAGAAAAAGAAGAAGACAAATGAACTTAAATATAAAACAGAAACAGACTCACAGACATAGAATACAACTTGTGGTTGCCAGGGGGG